TGGGCGCCGTCGACGCTGGTCTGGCTCCGTCGGCGCTGGTCTGGCTCCGTCAACGCTGAGTAAAAAAATCTCCGTGTTAATTTGTTCTACGCCGTTGGCGCTGAACATTTCTTCAAAAATGTCATTTTGACTCCAAATTTCATCTTTTTTGCTTTCTTTTTGCTTTAAACCCTAAAAATCAACAACCTGTAAGAAAACATCAAAATACCTTCCATTAAAGTGCAATATTATAAAAAATAGGTATAAAATATGAGTCTAAAAATATATATATGTTTGGTATATCACGTAATAAACATAGGATAACTGTTAAAAATAAAGAAAATATACCCACTCTGCAATGGTCATAGATTTTTTCCCCTATTTTCTATTGTGAATATCTACTCTTTCTTTAGAGCATAGTTTTACAAAAATCTCTCCCCCAAATTTATTTTCAACATGAGATGGTTTGGTCAAATTAAATGTTGATGATTTGATGATTCGGTTAGGATAGTAGATATTTTAGATTCGACTTATGTTAAGAAAGGCAAGAAGTATACCTAAAAAGACTCGGGCATGTAGTATAAAAATGATCTTAATTTATTAGAATTAAATGAAAATATGATACTCAATAGGACTCAGTGGAGAAAAATGATTCATGTTGTTGATCCCCTTTACTATACATGCAAGTCTCAACAGGAGTGTGAAACCAATATAGCAGGGTGGAAAACATGAATATGTAATAAAAAGAGAAAGTCGTCATAAACAATAAGAATAATTACATTTAAATCACATCCCTATCACTAGAAACAATAAAGCCTTAACAAATGATAAGATAAAGAAATCACATAACAATATACCATAGAAAATAAGACTTGAAGTCACATCAACATAAACATCCACAACATCACTAAAGTGTATCAGGAGAAATGAAAGCATAGGAAGCAAGAAATTAAGATATCATGAGTGAATAGTGGGTGACTACGAAAAGGCAAGTTAATAAAAAATATAAACAATGAAAGATACATCAGATTGCCTTCTAATAATTGTTTAGTTTAACGTCCCCATCTTGATAAAAATACATATACGTTATATATTATAAATCAAAGCAAAAATGCATTCAAATCACAAGATAACTCTTGAGTTGCCTCTCAAGTAGTGTTTGATTTTATATACTCAGCCTGACAGACAAATCATCCATATGATTTTTCTTCAAGATCAAGCTGATCTTTTAATAATCTTTAATTAATCACTAAATAATTTTGATGCCATGCCCCCGAGATTCTTCTATATCATTCACTTATAGATCTCAAATATTCACTTATAGATCTCAAATTTTCATCTCTTTGAATTATTGATTTCTTATTTTTTAAAGTCTTCTTCAAGATCTCTTGCAATTTTGTTATTTCCATTCTAAAGCACCCTTCAGTGGAATAAGTGGATGAAATTGGATAATAAATTTGAAAAATTAATTCATCATTTTGAGCTCTCAAATACTTTATGCTAATTATTAAGTCACATTGCATCTTTCCCATAATTTGGTCTCCTGTGGTACATGGAATGGTAAAATTATCCAAATATTTTAATTTTTGTGAGAGCTTCTTTTTAATTATATCACTTCATTTCTTTGTCAACGCCATAATTTTAAAATTTAAATATTAATATTTCCTATTTACAAATTTCATGTAAATGGACATTTGGTCAATTGCTTTTGCAAATGAAATGTTAAAAGTGTACAGCTTGAACAATTCTAAAAATCTAGAGAATTTTTGGTTTAGTTTTTGTTTAATAAATCTCTTAGTAAAAGATGGTAGTGGCCTCTCTTGTTCCTTCCTAGGCGGTGAGAATGTCTTTTCTAAGTTTGTGATAGGTTTTTCACCAAGTTTTTTCGGCTTTGACTCAGACTATTCCATTCTAGGCTCTTCCCTTTCTACCTCCTCTTACACTTTTTCACTTCTAAGTTTAATTTCTTTACACTGCTCCTAGCATGACTTTGTATCCGATTTCTCTATTCACTATCAATTCTTCCAAAGTCAATTTTTTTCTTTAAATTGAGGATTAGAAATGAATCTAGTTAGGTAAGTCAGTCGTTGGTTAAAATTGTCTTGATTGTTCTAATTTTTTATAGAATTATGTTGGTTACTACCTTGTTGCTGGCGTCCTGCACCTTGATTATTATTATTCCAGTTAAAGTTTAGGTGATTTCTTCGGTCTAAGTTATAGGTTTTGGAATAAAGGTTGTTGGGTCGATTATTAATAACATTCATAGAAGCACTACTAATTGTGTATAGGTATTCTCTTCTATTGCTAATGATCTTAATGCTGGATTTAAGCTTAGATTGTCTAGCTTACTCGATATAACGGCTACTTATGAAGTCAGAATTGCTAACACATCGACATCATGGATACTGACCACCTTTCTAAGGTTCACTCCCTTAGAAGTCCACCGAAAATTATTGGTAGTCATCTCTTCTGTTAAAATATAGGTCTCTTCAAAGGTTATAGACATTAAAAACCCCATGATGTAGTGCTATTATAGATCTCAGAGATCCGACCAATCTATTGTAGGTATATATAATTAACCATTTAGGTGGGGCGTGGTGTGGACAGTTTCTAAGTATTTCCTTAAATCTTTTTTAAGCTTTATATATGGACTCACCATCTAATTGGGTAAATGGTATAACATCATTCATAAGTTAGTAATTTTGAATGAAGGAAAATACTTAGGTTAGAATTTTTGAGCAATATCTTTTCATATTGTGGTTGAATTAGGTAGTAAGAAGTTTAGTTAAATCTTTGCTTTATCTCAAAACAAGAACAACCTAAGCCCAACAACGTCTTCACAGACATCATCATACTTAAATATTGCACAATGTTTTAAGAAACTGACAATGTGGATGTTAGGATCTTCTATAAGTGACTCCCCAAATTGAGAATTTTGGACAATTTAAATAATTGAAGGTTTGAGTTCGAAGGTATTAACACTAATGACAGATCTACTAATGCTGCGGTGCACTCCATCTACCAATATGAGGAGAACATTCTCATTCTGAGAGTTTGCCATTGCGCCTAGCTTCTTTTTTAGTTTTCGGATTTTTTTCAACAATTTTTTCTTTTTCAGTGCCGTACAACACTAATTCAGCATATCCAGTCCTATGCGTACGCACCTAAGACTAATTAGTGAATGTTCCTAAGGTAACATAACATACAAATACAAGGTACAATATACTTAAACAACAATCCCTCTTAAGCAATAACGTGCAATAAGCTAAAAGAAAATCACAATCCATTTTAACTTTCTAAGTTGCGAATTCAGAAGTAAATTAAGCACAAAAAGTTAACATATCAACGTAGAAACTAAATTTTAAGATTTACAAAATATTGATTTTGTCTAAATTTTCTAAATTACAATTCAAGGGAGAAAACTATTTAGTGACGAGATTTAATAAATGAAAACAAAATAATTTTTATTGAAAACAGAAAAGAAAGTATATACATAAGTAGGAAAAACCAAACCAAAATACTTCACACTTTATTACCGTGAGAGTTCCTCCCATTTACAACTTAACATTTGCACACACTTGCTCACGCTTGCAGTTTTTCTCCACTTTCTTCACTTCAGCACTCACTTCACACTATCTTTTCTCTTCATCTTCAAGCGTTCTTCTAATCTCCAAGCCTTCTCTGAAATGAGGGATTTTTATATACTTTGAGTCCCGAACACACATGAGCTAGGCGCCAAGCGCTGGTGCCCGAAGTTCCAACAGTTTTGACTCTTTATTCTTGAACATGCGCCCTGCCGCCCAGCAGTGGCTTTAGGTTTCCAGGCTCCAGCACACTGTCACCAAACTTTTCTGTTTGTTCATGCTTGGGAAAGAGACACCCTGGTGCGCAACACTGGCTCTCTCCGTACATGCTCTTTGTACTCCCACATCTGGGAGAGCATCATGGCGCTTGGAGAGGTGCAGGAGTGCCAGACTCAGAACTTTAGCGCTTCATTCTTTGGCTCCTTTCTCCCCATATTTTCCCCATCACTTTTCACCCATATAATTGTATAAAACACTAAATAGCTACGTGAAACGTAAAAATGAAGCTAATAAAGATAAAAGTAACATATAAATAATATGCACACTTGAAATACACATCATGAATCAAACACGAGTTGCTCGTGAATATAAAGATTACTTAAAAGTGTTAATAGTTCTAGCTTATACATGTCGCAATGCTTATATAATCATCTAGTTGAGTCGACATGATCAAACAGACTTTTATTTGACAGCTATACTTGCAGGTGTATCAGATAGCACCTGTGCTCTCTCTCTTCTGTCAACTCAGCCATGGGATGTGGTCCCGGCTTCTGCTGCCACACCAAGCTCCGAACTTGAGATGGCTCAAGGAAGCAGCTATGTGAATAGTTCCTGGGCGTTCAAAGATCATGCAGCAGGTAGTGGCAGCTCTCATGAAATGGGATTCAGGCAAATCCAGGATGCTGGGAATTGCCACTTCTCAGGTGAGCTTGAGCTGGCTCCTCAGGGCAGCAGGCATTGCCCTGATGATGTCAGCCCTAGCGAACTTTATGACCACCTTCATGATTTACACTGGCCTCTTTAATTAGACCATATGCTTTAATGGTTTTCTGAGTTTCTAAACACTTTTGACCTGTTTATTCATAAGATTTTTATTGTTTTTTTTAGCACGGAACTTCTCATCTGGTAGCATATCTGAGAACTAAACCCCCTTTTCAAGTATTTGTAACTGGAGTTTCATGTCTGTTGTAAACGTTTGCAGACTTGCAGAAAGATGGCATGATTTGGTTTAATAGTAATTTTGCTGAAGTTTGCATACTGGTAAAGCTGGTGTGTATCGTAAAAGATTTGAGTAGTATTCGTGTAAGTAGTGTTTAGCTGTTAGATATGTAATTGCCTATGTATGTAAGTGTACCTAAATATAATTTAGCAAGCAACAAGTTTTCTTTTATAAGATATTCTTCGGGTCTTACAATTATATTCAAAAGTCTTTGGGTCTTACAGTTATATCAATGGCACCCAACAATTTCCCTTAATATCAAGAATCTGTAAGACGAGTCTCAACCATCTCTCTGGATCTCTTTGTCTAAGGGCGATTACCTATTAAATTACAGTGATTTAGCATATGTCCGATAGCCTAGCTCAGCTCCGTCGACAGGAGCTCTTTATCATGAGCATGAATTAACCTACCGAGTCTATTTTGTCGATCTTTTACCAGTAAAATATCAACCAATCGACAACATCAAGTCTAGTCAACTGAGAGACTCTACAGAACCTAGCCGACCAGTGGGCCGCACTATCTTAGCCAACCGTCAATATTCACCAAGTTTAGTTGATTGATAATGCCTACTAAGGGCTCACCTGTTCAGCCAACCGAGCCTTAGAACAGTCAGACTCTGGGCTCATATATATAAAATATCTATAGTACTCTTTATAGTGCCCACTAAAATGGAGACAAATGTAACTTGACATATTATATCCTCTATTTTTCTATAAATAGAAGTTCATTTATGAATAAAGGGATACACACCCCTCTCAAAATACTGTTCATTACCATGCATATATATATATATATATATCACCTAAGACTAATTAGT